TATACAGATCATAAATTTATGAGTTAACTCATAATATGATCACATACGATATCACTCATATCAATTCACTCATATTAGTTCATCAATATTTTGACTGATTAATTGATAAATCCATTTCCACAATTAAAGTATTAATATTAACAACCCGGAGGGCAAAAGGATTTTTCAATCTGCATAGTCAATAAAAGATTCATCACACTTAATTGTTGATCGCCAGTGATGAAATTTTAACAAATAATAAGATGCAATTTAATTCGACCAAAAAGTGGCTATTTATTTATTGAAAATAAGTACACACTACGTTTTGACCCACATTGTGGTTCTTTTCAAGTGTTGTTCTTATTCAGCAATTACATTAATTAAAAATAGAAACATGAAAATTGTCCTGTCATATCGACAATCTGTTAGCTACTAGCTCTGTGAGTAGCTCTGTGAGTAGCTCTGTGAGTACTAGCTCTGTGAGTAGCTAACAGATTGTCGATATGACAGGACAACTTTCATGTTTCTATTTTTAATTAATGTAATTGCTGAATAAGAACAACACTTGAAAAGGACCACAATGTGGGTCGAAACGTAGTGTGTACTTATTTTCAATAAATGAATAGCCAGTTTTTGGTCGAATTAAATTGCATTTTATTATTTATTAAAAAGATTCATGGTCATATTCAACTTCGCGCTGTTATCAATAAAACATAGCTTTAGGATCGCCTTAATATTCGTGCTTTTTCAGATTGTCGCAAAAGACTTGTCGAGAGTGAAAGCGAACAATTTTGTCTGTTCATTAACGAAACGATAACGATAACATAAGAATACAACAACGAACACTATCAGCCTACAGACTTATCAATGAAACATAAAGCTACTCCAGTTACGGCCACGATAAAATGCTAGAGTAAAAGTCAATAGCGGAGGCCTCCTTACGTAGTTGATGTATTTAGCAACCGTTTATATCGTCGATATGCGTACCAAACGATGAGTAAAGGTGAACCGATAAACGTTAAATCCACGAGCCCGTCGAGATTTGCATATACGATATATAAAGAAAAAAAATTCGAGCCCTTTATCGCCTCTCACGGGAAATGCGGTCTCGTAATTACGATATTCAAATCTAAAACCCTTATGAGACACACGGCGCCTCGTTGTGAAATTAACGGTACGTATTATATATTCTCCCGGAAATCGATGGGAATAATTAATATTTTGGGTTTTTTGCGGAAGTTTAAATAAAATTTATGCGAGTAAACGGCGCGCGAATTATACGATTTTGATGTAATTATAAGAAAAGTTTAATGTCGGCTGATGAACTTTGATAAATTACATCGTCAAGTGAGAGTAAACAAGATACACACTGCATCAACAATTTTTACGATTTCGTAAATATGGGACGCGTTCTGTCGGAAGGAAATATAATTATACAAGACGTTTATTTGTCAGGGGAGTCATGTTTCCATAAATTATACTATGAAACGAGATTAATGCCCGGGAGGAAAAATAATCTGACGCAGCAATACTGCCGTGAGGTTACTTATAACAGGCTAGGTGGAGTATCAACACGCGTGATCACTTCGCTAGCGAAGTCATAATCGCAAATAATTAGCGCGAAAGAGCTTACGCTCTCGCTCTCTCTCTCTCTCTCACTCTCTGCTCGCGCAGAGATCGTATCCTATCGGCTTATTAAGTTGCCACTGCCGAGCATACTGTGCTAGGGGATGGCGTGCTATAATTTCCAGGGTTATACCGTACTTTAAAGGCGTACTAAAGCTCGCCCCTTTTCTCTCCCACTCCTCAACACCGCAAAGCAAATGGATAAGTAAGAGGCTAAAGGTGAGAGCGTCTGAAACGTCTACCTCTCTCTCTCTCTTTTTCCTTGCCTCCCTTTCTCTTTCTGGTCTCCTCGTTCTCTCGGCTTTATTCTCTCCATCTATCTCTCGTAGAGATGAAGAGATAAATTGTTTGGCGAGGACTCGCCGCTCAAAAGTTTCGCGATATTTCCACTGTTAGTTAAAATTAGTGGAGTTCCCTTAGGGCAATTCTGATAACACTATCTCCCGTTTGTGTCACCCGTCCTCAATCGCGTTTCCAACCCCTTTCTCGTACCTCTCGATCCTTTGATTTCTCTTTCTTTTCTGTTCTATAACGCTCCCCTATACTTCGAATCGCACGGAATTTCATGAGAGAGAGAAAGAGGCACGATAAATCTTGGAAATGTAACTTATCGAGCAACATTGAGCAGAGAGACATTTTCTCTCGGGGAAAATGTATCTGGGTCTAATTTAGAAACATACTCGTATATTGATCAAAGAAAAATACGTCATTCATATCCACGAGAGATGGGATTGGCGTCTCGATCCAAGTGCGCATTCACGGAATGGCGCTTATCGGAGAGTCCGGCGTCATCGGTACGACAATTAGCGAAGTTTAATCGCCGCTCGGTCAACCGTAATTAAGGATCGCTCTTCTCTCTCGCTCTCTAACGAGCGCGACAAAAAGGAGAATGCGCGAATTAAAGCTGAGACTCGAAGGGCAAAAACCGCCTCGCCGAAGTATTTATTGCGTGCTCGATGACGTGACCACTCGTACCGTAATTGAATCGATGTTTTACGCCGATTTGAAAAGAAATTGTTCCACATATTGAACCATATTCGAGAAACGGAAAGCTGGAAGGATATCTCGTATGGAAATTTATCTTAAATTATTACTCGTCAGGAAAATCGCCAATTAGAAACTATATGATGGAGCTCGGAGATATTTCGCCTCCGGGCGGAGCAGCCGCTCGTTATTTGACCGAAAGAAACCGCGCTATCTCTCCTTTTAATAAGACACTAGGTAATTTTAATCCCTCAGTCTTCTCCATTCTCTCTCGCTTAATAGAATTTGTAACTCGGGGATTATGCGCAGATATACGGGGTGTCTGTACCCGACCGCACTTCCGCTTTAGGAAGTAGAACTAAAAGTCAACGAGGTATACGTAATTTAATATAGCGTCGATTTTAATGAAAATCGTGACTTTTACAATCGTACTTCACATATTACGATAATATATTTGATTTTATACAAAATTTAATTATTTAGTTAATTAATTATTTAGTTTTCTGTTTAATAATCTCTCCCATTCATATTGCCTCCCTTTCTCTGCATATATTTTCATTATGAACGGATTACATAATGAATGAATTCGATAACGACAACATAAAAAATGTCGACAAATTTCGATATTGCATTGTCGAAAGAGCGTCAACCGTATCGAAATATATTTGAATATTAAAAATATAATTTACATCTCTGCCAATTTCGGATATTCGTGCAACAAAGCAACAATGAAATTAATTGCGCGCGGATTAAATAGAGATACGCGTGCAATTGCTCGGGAACGGAACGAGATTGCTCTGCGAAGGATGGCGGACGTAAATCGACGATTTGATTCTCCGAGAATCATTAAATTGTTCGTCAATTCCAGCCGAGAGGACCCGACTTAAATGCGATCGGTCCTTCTCCGAAGGAGGAGAAAAGGAGCTTGATTAAACTTCGTTAATTATGGCTATGATGACGCTTATATATCTCCGACACCGAACGAAACCTTGCTCAACCGTCATTGCATTCAGCTTGACAATGTTCTTAAAAGACAAAAAGAGGCGGCAGCCACATCGCGCATCAGATGGTCCGGCAAAAAGACTCTATTAAGAGCCATACGCGCTCCGGTGACTCGAATCTTTCTTATCCAATTTTACGGTCCAACGAACGACCTTAGATATATAAGATGTTTCCCGATAGCGCGTTTCCGACAATATCCGGCTAATATGCTCGTAAAATATACGCTGACGTATATCTGCCAGGTATATAATCCGCGATGGCTACATGATATGGATAATTTATAATTTTATCATTCTAATCTATTATATCTCCTTGTACGATAAATTTCAAATTAAATTTTATAAAGTGTAGTTACACTACTAATATTCGCGAGTGGATTCGCTTGCGCAGTCAAACGATGTAATCACAAAGCGCGCGAACGTCTCCGCATCTCATGGAAGCTTAACTCGCAAGCTTTTTGCCGTTCCTCGTAGCTTTTCGCGAATGAACGAGAATCGGGTAACGCGATTTGCGTGCGTTCATGCGATTTCTCGCACTGCGCGTTGAATCGTCAACGGAATGCAAATTTTCGCTATAGTAACAATTAATTACAATGATCGACGCGAGCTGAAGAATCGTGGAATAATAGTGAACTTCCAGTTACAATTCGGGACTTAAAAATTCAATGCGACACTAGTGGTGGTCGCGTGAACTATTATAAATGGCCGTCGCGAATATACATCTAACATTATCTTATTATTATTTGAATAATTAATTAATAATGTTCCAATGATCACATGAGATTCTGATGTCAAGACACTTATTTGTAGACATAAGGAATATAAATCTATTCTTTTTTTACTTTTCATAATTAAACCGTACATAATAATCATACTGGAATTTTATAACATTTTGGCCTTCGATCATATTCCTTGATGAAGGCGTAGCTTTTGTATAATCACAGAGTGTGTCTAACCGCAATGACATCTTTTTCATTAAAAAAATTAATTTTTACACTTAAATGACTGTTGTTGTTGCATATTTCCAACGGTCATATTTGTTTTGCTTCAGTAGCGCCTCTTTTTCCACGGTGGACGTTTTTTTCGCTAATACTAGCCAAAAGTTCTACATTAGAGATTACCGAGATACGTAACTCTCTTGCGGAGAGATAAATAGATGGTGCAAGACTTTCCCAAACAGAGAAAAAATGTCAGTGTCACACCGGGGACTCGATTCTAGGACCTTCTTCTCAGTAGACAAGCATTCTGCCCACTGAGCCACTCATTGTCCCATCCCACTTATTCTCTCCGCTGGCTTACATATTCTCTACAGTTAGATAGATAGATAGGTAGAGAGAGAGAGAGAGAGAGAGAGAGAGTTGGAAATTTGAATTTCGACTTGAAAGGACTTGGAAACAAGAAGATCCTTACCGAGGCAGAATGGCCGGGTCTCCTCGCTGGTCCACCAATCTGCAACAATAAAGAGAGAATAATGAAGGAAAGTGTACAGTTGGTATTTTGTTGAAATTATTATTATGACAATATAAACCTTATCGTCTCGAAGCGAGAATTCCGCAAATATGCGCGCGATATCATTACAGTGACAATTTAGATCGATGTTTGAAGAGCACAAGGAGCTTGCTATAAGCTCGCTGCTTGAATAACACAATTTTGCGTCGGCACAATATTTGCGAAACATCGCAGCTCGTCGACAGCTCCTTTACAAGAGACCGAAGATACTTGCTGTAACAATAACGGGATATATCCGAACGAAAGGATCACCGCGCGGAGACATTAATCCTTTGTGCGAGGCGTATCGCAACGAACTTGGCGAAGAGTAACAGGCGGAAATAAGCGATCCCTGTCACGAGGCGCCCGCGGAACAGAAGGAATACCTATAAGCCGATGCCGAAAGAATTAACCGAGGACGTAGCCATTTAAGCGAGTTGTTACAAACTTCCGTAAGCTCCGTGCTAACTAGAGGCACGGAGAAACAGGGCTTACAAACTGTAATGCTTGTGACTCCTGCCGACCCGAGTCTTCGGCAGCGAACCAGAATATTACTGTCGTAATATTACGGGTCGTCGCTGATAACCAATCATTCGATTCTATTCCATATATACGCTCAATTCTCACTGCACTCGTTCACTTCGAACCCTTTGAGCGATTATTGAAACGTTTCTATATATCCGATTGTTTGGAAGTTTTGAAATTTTCCAGTTGAAAAATAAAAGGGTATTTAAGGGATCTATAAAAGTCTAGCAAATCGAAAAATAGGATACTTTGTAACATTGTAAAAATTTTTTCCCAGAGAGAAAAATCTTCAAAAAGTTTTTTTGCCAGTAGTGACACATCTGAATTTACGCACCGAATTTTTTACTATAAAAATTTAGTTTTTTCACAACTTGTGAAAAAAAATTCCAAAAAAGTTGTCGAAAATGTGACAGCTGTGAAGGAAAAAATGCCTATGTTTGTTTTAATATCTTTTGCGATTTTTTTGTCCCGAGTTTTTATTAGAAATATATATTTTTTTTAAATTCTATGATACAATTTGCTGAATGCTCATAAACTTTAAAAGAGAGAAAAAGAGAGTCTAGAAGAGAGGGCTATATATTAAATAAGTTTAATTAATTAACGTTTCAATTTGTATTCAAAACTAGCATTAAAATTTTGAAGAAGAAAATTATATATTTAAAAACTAGGTTATTCTATTCAGTTTTTTAAATTATAAAATGTGCAATATTCAATTCTTGTTCGTTTTTCTTGCAAGAATATATGTGCCTCTTTTCCGCTGTACGAATATTTAAAGTAACATTGAGTTTGTGAATTCTATTCTAAATGAACTATACCACAGAAACATTCAGAGACAAAAATTCTTTTATACACACACAAGTTGACAACCGTCAATAACGCGCGCGTATAATAAATTTTGCATAAAAATACCGAGAAACCTCAGATTTCTCGCAGTTTCTTCGTAATTCAGTCCCTTCCAGAGACAGCAAGCCAGCAAAGAAAGGAACGTGACATCGAGGTCACGTGCACTTCAGCGGATCTCGCGATCACGCGAAAAGGTTGGGAGAGGGATGAGGGTTGAAGCGAGAAACGAGAAAGAGGTTCGTCCGGTATTCAGCTGGAGCAGTAGAATATGACGGTTAAAAGCCTGGCGCGGGTCTGCATGTTTCTGATGACGGCGATACTTACGACCGATTTGAGATTTAAGGTTCGACTTGATGCCATTCATCGCTAAAAGCCTTGTATCTACGCGGCTGTCGGTTTTAATGATTAATACAGCTCGAGGGCTGAAGGATTAAGCCGTAGTAAATAAACGACTCGGGTGACTCGGGACTTCAAACGTAGAGAAAAAGGAAGATTGACTAAAACTTTATTGAAATGAGAAAGAGAGAGAAGAGATGCGCGCGCGAGGATGAAAGGATTAACTGAATCGAGTTACATTTTTACGTCAACCTAAATTTCGCTCTCAAATCATGGATGTCAAAAGCGTCGCGACGCCCAGAAGTCGGCGAAGATGAAAGATTTATACCGAGCTTGCTGGAGGAAAACAGTAAGAACGATCCGTACAGAGTGAATTCAAGCGTAGTCAACCCCGATTGCGCAGTCATTTAACATTGAAAATTAAAGGATTCTCGCGAGAGAATTAAGAGTCCGAGATGAGTCTTCTCCGACAAAGCAAGAGGTCGTAAAATGAAGAAAATTCACGCGAGACGAGTCACTTGCGCATCCACTCATGCAATCTCACTCTAATTGTTTCGCGAATATAACGCTAATTTTACATACACTCCTTCCGCGTTCGTCTTCTTCACTCTATTACAAGAGGAGTATCCGAATTAGCTGCGTATCTAATTTTGGTCGCAAAAAGTCGGATCAACAGAATTCCAATCAAGAATGTTATTTCCAAAACCCCACAATTTATAGGTCATTTTCATTAGGATTTTTTATCAAAAGAAGAATTTTGCGAACCAATTTTAAAGATATTAATTTTTTTAAATCACCTCAACTCTATAAAAAGTTCTAACAATTTTAGGTTAGAATTTTAAGTTAGGTTAGAATTGTTTATAGAGAGAATTTTAAAATTCTAGAGCTCTAAAATTATTGGATAAAAATTATTAAGATTTTTTATCAAAAGAAGAATGTTGCAAACCACAATATGCTATAATCAATAATTTTAGAGATATAGATTTTTAAGTCACCTCCACTCTATAAAAAATTCTAACCTAATCTAATCTAATCTGAGGTTAGAATTTAGAGTTAGATTAGAATTTTTAAGAAATATATATATCTAATAAAAAATCAAGATAAAAAGATATTAAAACAAACAGGCATTTTTTCTTCACAGTTGTCATATTTTCGACAGTTTTTTTGGAATTTTTTTCCGCAAATTACGAAATGTTTATAGTACAAAATTTGGTGCGTAAATTCAGATGTGTCACTAGTAGCAAAAAAAAACTTTTCGGAGATTTTCCCTCTGGGGAAGAAATTTTTAAAATGTTACAAAGTGTCCTATTTTTCGATTTGCTAGAGTGACTCAAGTTAGGTTAGAATTTTTTATAGAGATATTAAAAATATATCTCTAAAATTATTGATCGTAGCGTGTTGTGGTTTGCGATATTCTTCGTTTGATAAAAAAATCCTAATAAAAATGACCTGCGAGAGGTTTTGGAAATAATATGTTTCCCGCCAAATTCCGTGAAATTAACTCTACGAACGCAATTCTCCCCTTGTGATAACTCGACCATACAATCTCATTTCTACAGTTATCATCGAACTGAAACTCATAGCCGTTTCCCAGACGCTCTTTCGTGTCGCTGTCTCCTCCTGATAACAACATACCAGGTATAGGTATCGGGACGAAAAATAAAAATACGAGACGCGGCCTTTGTTCGGTAGCGCGATGAGTCCGAACAATTCTCGTCCGCCCGTTTAATCGCGACGTCCATTTATACAACCAGGGATGGGCGAAGGAAAAAAAGGAAAAGGAAAATAATTGCGAACGAAGCGACGAAAGGGGGATCGCCGAACTTCGAGTTCAGAAGAATCGAGCGATCTCGCTCCTTTGTCCTTGACAGGACGATGCTCCTTCCTTCGCCCGGCCGAGGCTATTGTCCATAATCCTCGAAAGCTCCCGCCGACTTTTTTACGACCGCCAATTGTGATCGGAAAACTGCATTTCGCACGTCAGCAGACGTTCAGCAGGCGGACACGTCGAAGCGGATTATTAAATCCGTCGCGCGTAATCCTGTCGCAAGCACCTGCCAATCCGTTCCCGCATTTCGTTAATTAATCTCCCTAATTATTCGCCCAGCAGTATATATATATAGAGAGAGAGGACGCTGTTATTGAGGCTGGCCGCTTACGATGATGACACGACACATAATAAGGCACCTCCGGCAAAATCGATCTTCTCTAATCATAATTAAAAATCGAATACACGTGCCTTGATATATGCTCTCGCAAATAGCTTCCTCTCGTCGAGTTACTCATTAATGCTAATAAATATATAGTATTAACATATTAATTGTATATATTTTTATATTAATATATATATATATATATATATGTAATTTTATATAATTTTTTATATAATATAATTAATTTTATATTAACATATTAATATAATATATTTATATATTATAATTATATGTATATATATATATATATATATATATATATATATATATAAAATATAATTATATGTAACAAGCGTAATATAAACACACGACTGATTAACAAATTTGTTTACAAATTTGGTGATGCGAATGCAAATAGTTTCTTTGAGAGTTTCTTCTTCATCAACGAGACAAAAACTATTTCCACATTTGTAATGCAAATATACAGAAAGCACCGACGCTTATTTCTGTTAATTGGTTTACAGCGGTTTACTGCAAACTTATTCAACGGCGAGCAAGGTAAACTATTAATTAATATATTTCCTGTTACGCTACGTTTCCACGTCCGCGTCACGACCGGAAGGGAAGAGACAAAGTCTCTCCTTTATTAATCCAATTTACGGGCGAATAATCTCCCCTTGGCAAGATCAACATTTATATTTTCTGATAAATAAATCCCGAAAGAGGCGAGTTCGACCAAACGAGTTCGAATCCGTTAATTAGATCACAACGATAAACTCTCGACGCGGAGATAAACTCTTAATTAATTAATTAAAAGGACTTCCGGGAACGGGGGTGCAAGAGAAGATCTTTCCCCCGGTTACTTTCTTTCAAAGTTTCTCTCGGGGCCAAAATCACTTAAACGAAGATTATTTGCGCGTTCGCAGTTGATAAAGCGGCTCACATTTTCCAGACATTCGCGTGTAATCAATGTAATTGCATCGAGCATCGAAATCTATTTAATTGACAGATTGTTAACGTTAGAGAGTAAATAGAGCACACATTATATGAATGTATATACACAAGTATTGAATTTCTCGTAACTTTATACCCTCCGCCGTGTAA